ACTTTGAAGGATTGGAGCCTTGCATCTGTAAGCATTCAGTGAAGTCTGGGGCTTCGGCATGAGCTGGCACCTGTTCTACCAGTGTCACATCCATGTGACCATCTTTCATTTTTTTTAAATCCCTGCAAGGGATTATTGTACTTTACCAATACGTTTAGATTATTTTTCCTTTGGAAAGGAATAAGGCCCTGATCCTGCAAAGACTTAGGTACGTGCTTTATGCACTGTGAGTAGCCCCATTGACTTCTGATCAGAACTTGACTTCACTGGAACTAGTCACAGTGTATAATGCTAAGTGTGCGCTTTGAAGGATTGGGGCCTCAGGAAACTGGATTAACTCTCTTTGAGGACACTGAGGTTTTTAATATTGCAAAGAAATGGAGAGATGTCTAATTTCACTATTTATTCTCTTCATGGGAGTTAGTGAAAGCAGCAGCAACAAAAAAAGCTAATCCAACTGTTAAAGGGCATGTGGTTTCACACAATAGCTACATTCACCACTTCCTGTGTCAAATCCAGCGAAAGAATAAAAACTGGGGGAGCTGGAAAAATGCAGCCTGAAATCTTAGTTTTGATTTTCTTTTTTTATATTTTTTCTGGAAAAGCTCTTACAGAACCACCAGGATTACCAGGACATTTATCACTAAGGAAACTGCAGGTCTGGAATCACTGTACTATAGCTCCTGTTTTTGTTCACTGTAGGTATTATTCTCTCTGCTCCGTGGCACATTCTATCTTGGCCAGGGCTCCCCATACTTGGAAAGTGTTGCCAATGCTCGAGGTGCTGCCTATGAAGTGTACAAAGTTATCAATAAGGTACTTAAAGTCGCTTTTCTAGCAGTCTGAAATTTCTGATTTATTTCTCTAAAAATTAAAAAAGTGGATGAACTCCATAGACTCATACCACTGAAAACAAAAATAAGATGACATTTTTATTCATATTAAGAAGACACAAGCCTTAACCAAAGCCTTAAATGTGTTTATTGCAAACTTGGGGGAAATTCTGATCTATAATTCAATTTTACAGATTGGGGCCCTCTTTCCTGTTTTATTTATTTTTTAGAGGTAGGGTTACCATACATCCGGTTTTTCTCAGACATGTCCGGCTTTTCCGCAATCAAACCCCCCGTCCGGGGGGAATTGCTGAAAAGCCGAACATGTCTGGGAAAATGCCGGCCGGGCACTTCCCCTCCCGCATCTGCTCTGAGAGGGGAGGA